GAGGCAGTTTCTTCGCTTCAGGAGCTTAAGGAGATTGTGTTTCTAGTAGTGCTTGAGATTCCACCTCTATTGTTCTACTCTTTCATTCTCCCAACAACATCAGCAGGTCGACTGAAACTGGTTTGTGAACTTTCAGCCAACATGGAAGGAGCAGTCGGTCCTTCAGCAAATGGAAGGAGCAGGAAGTGAGCGTCTTTGGCTGAAGCAGCGCGGCGCGGCGACACAATGGCATCTCTTGTTCACAGCTGCATACTGAATGACCACAACGAGAATCAACAGGGTAACAATTATAATGCATTTTCTATAATTCATCTACATTTTGAATAATGTTACCAAAAGGATTGTTTATGTGAGTTTTGTGTAAGCGAGCATACAGTGTAAAATTTAAGATACAGCTAAAATATCGTATGTAGTACAAATTAGTGTAAGAATCTTGGATATAATGATTGGACAAGACTTCCATTTGTGTATTAGTTCACGGAAATATAGACGTTTAACAGATTAACGTTCATGACCTGACAAACCTGTTGGGTCAGTTCAAAACAAACAGAAAGAAAATGAGAACTTATTTGTTTAGATACTAAACAGAGAACATACGGTGTGTGTGAAGCGGTTTAATGCTCGAAGGCTTTGACGCACTGAAAAATATGAAGCTCTTAAAACTAGAGTTATGAATCTTTTCATTTTTTAACGACTTTTGATCTGAAACTATAGCCTTCTTTCGGGCTCTTGTCCCTTTAACTAGCTTCAAAAACACTGCAAGGCCTGTTCAATCATGTTTTATTGTTATAATTAGTGAGGGGACTAAGTAAGCACCTGTCACCATCCCTTTGATGCAGAGAGAATAAGAGAGCGAGACAGAAAGAGAATGAGGTACTTTCTTAATTACTCGTGCAAATACACCAGGGAAAAGAAACATGAAAGTATTAGTATTAGGACTCCTTATTTGTATCAGAATGTGCTACTACGACCATGTATGATGTTCCTTGAGTTTGGCTTCAGTAGTAGCTCGTCTGATAAGTACGTAACAGGTTAGAGGTCAGTCAGTTGCAGGCTCAGGTGTAGGTGACAAAGGTGCCATTTTGATAGGCATGACTAAGCATTTTCATTGCCACTTCAACAGACTGCTGCAAAGGCTGCACTGCATACTGCAGATGCACTTTTGTTTTGATGAAGATGCAAGTAACTAAGTTAGCTCTCACGAGTTTAGACGTCCCTGGTGATCTCTCTAAGGTGATGGTCGCCCCAGGGACACTTCAGTGCTAATTAGGCTCAGGTAACGATGGAATGAGTTGGTAGGTGTGATCTTACAAATACAACATGGTTATATTTAATAAAGTACAGATAATGGGAGGTTCTACATTAACTGAAGCAGGTTCAGAAGATAAGAAAGAAGAAACATTATAAAATGGGAATAAAATAAGGTTAACATTTTAGTTTTTATAACCAGCCTTAAAGTTCCAGTTTCTCTAGTGTATACTCACTTTTGGTTCACAACAGCTTTATATTATAAATCTACAAGTATATAACTTGTAATAACATTTAACAGGATTGTATTTTTAAAAAAAATAATAATAATTATAATAATATAGGCCTAAAGTTAACGCTCACATTTCAGGCTTCTTGATAAATCATTCATAGTAAGACTTTTTATTCAGTAACTATTATAAGGTACTTGGTAACTACTATTAAACTAATGTGTCAGAGTGAGCAATTGAAGTTGAATTGAAAGTGGGCCCACATACAGGCCTATAGGGTTTAAAGGGTTCAGAGATGCCTCCATGTCCAAGGTAGAACTGGACCAGCATCTATCCACACTGAAAATGCATATAATAGGGGTGCCTAAACGTTTTGTCATAGGGAGGTCAATTTTAAAAGGTAAATGAGAAATAAATAAATTATATACAGTATAAGCATAATGAAGTTGTCCTCTCATTGTATGAGGGGGTGGAGTTAGGGTGACTTTCTGGTGGGCCGAATCAAATGTCCTCAGAGGCCAACTTTGACCTGTGGGCCACATTTTCAATAGCCCTGGCATACATTATATCTTTTGATCAAAAGGTTTATAGTCTGCAGTATATTAAAGTTATTCAAGATAATAACACAAAGAGCAATAACAGTAAGTGACCAATGTGGACAGGAGTAGACATTTAACAAACCCCTCACAGAGTTTTGCTATGGTATACAGGATACCCCGTTCATTGCGCAAACCAAGGTGGTTTATATGGACAGAAATGTCCAGATATCTAAACTTTTCTCAAGATTTGTGTGAAACACCGACAGAGAAATGATTATAAGGATGGTCATCTCCATCTTACGAGGCAGTTTTGGATGTCACAGCCTTCTCTAATACTGCCTGGTAATGATGCAGATGGTTCTCCACAGACATCATTACAATCACTTTCGATATATAAAATGTATGTATGTATGTATAAATACAAACACTATTCCAATATTGTTAAAGAAATGATTCTTAAATGAAGCATCCTCTGAAGACTAAAGCATCCTCTGTCTTAAGGAAAGCATGGTAAGACGATAAGTGGCATTTAATGATTAAGCGGTGATGTTAACTCTCTGCTCTCAGGGCACATCTTACCCGTCAGTGCTGGGCTGATCACTGGTGTTCTAACACTGTCTGGTAATGATGCACACTGGGAGCACTTTGAGCAACATGACAAACAAGGTCCAGCATATGGGAAAATTTGTATCAATCATTATACAAATATCTGCTTTCCACACCTGCATTCTGAGACTGCAAAGTGATATGTCAGCAGAAAGTGTCATAAGAATAAAGCTGCTGTTATTGCAAAATCTCAGAACTTTTTTTTTACACCATTTGCAAACAGCTACCCTTTACATTGTGAGAAAATCATGGCGAATGGACTAACAGCAACAGTGGTTAAGAATAATTCCCAATTCTTCTCAAAAGGTTTTTGTTTTTCTTGACAGTGTGGGTAAAAATAAATATTTTGTGTCATCTGTAAGCATATGTAACCAACTATGAGTAAATCATTTTAAAGGTAAAGGCTAGTAGCCTACTTTTTATTTAAAGATCTCAATAGTGCTTTTGCACAGATCTTTTCACACTGACAGCAGGCTGCTTGGAACTGAGAGGGTAAACACATACAGGAGGAAAACAATCAATTAAAAGGAGATGACACTGGGTTTACTGTTGACCCCCATTCATCCTACTTTTGTCAAAGGTTTCAAATTGACCCATTAGTTTTTCCACCCCTCCCTGTTACATTAAGATGCTCGTAAAATGACTGTCACATTGGCTGGTGTCAGAGTGTCCCCCTCCCCAAGACATACACACATGCACACACCCCTAATAGTGTGCTCTGTCAACCTCTGATTGGTCCACCCGGCCCTACCTGCGTGGCTTTATTGTGCCAGTGACACCTGAGATCAGTGTGAGAAAAAAAGTCCCTTTTTTTACTCTCAACGATGAAGGAAGAGGAAGTTGCCGCTGTCACTGTAAAGATGAATAGTGCTGTGAACAGATCAGGTACTGAACTGGGAAGAGATTTGCATTATCTGTTGAGAATTCTACCTCTAATTATGAAGTGCTACAACCTACAGGCTGTTTTTTGACATGGAATGTATGGTTTTTGCATATATATTCAGAAATACGAAATGATGGAACAACATCTTGAGTGTTGAAGTAACTCAGCCTGTGCACATCCAATCACTCATGGGCTGGCTGTTACATAAACCAGCATTTAACGAGCATGTCATGTTCAAGGTAATGTTTGCCAAGGGCCTGCTCTAAAACTCTAATGCAACCAAACCTTTCTTTACTTTATCCCAACCCCCCACTACCAGCAGCAAGCCTACTGTTCATGTTCATGCTATTCATGTTTATAAAGCTCTTCTATCACTCATAGCCACTGCCTTTATACAGTCTGCCTTTTTGAACTTCAGTTTCTACATCTAATTCTGTTCTTCTCTGTCGTTTTCTGTTCTTGTGCAGTTTCACCACAAAGTACAATTCCTCCCAGAGCTCTTTGCTCTGCCTGTCCGCCTCTAAAAAGTCCTCTGATTTGCGTCTTACCAGGCATGTTTAGATGTTGCTAATGTCTCTAATACTGCCTGGTAATGCCGCCAGTCACAAGGAAGTTGATCATCATTCTGACCTCCTTGTTGCTCTCAGTCAATATTGAAATTTTTTCAGTATGCATGTTATAATTATATCTCCTGATATGCCTATCCATATCTAGAGAATTATGTCATGTTTTTATCTGCAAAGCAGTCCTCGTTATGTCATTATTAAATGATGATGTTAACAAATGTTGATGTGTGTATATAAATACAAATCTCAATGTCTATGTTCACAATAAAATGTGTTTTCATCTAAAGTGCATGTCTCACATATTCCATTATTCATGTTTTATTTTTACACAAGGTTAAGTGGGAAAACAACAATTAAACTTGCTTTTAATACTTTCCTTTATTAAAAAGAAGTGTAAGATAATGCTCAAATGAGTTTATGGAAAAATACTTTGTGAATCAAGTACTCTGAAAATATGCTTTCATTCAAAAAATTAACATATTTTGAGAATGACCATATCTTGAACCCCCTTGAGAAATGGTGAATGGTAGCCAGTCTCACTCTTTCTTAACTACATAAGAACCTTTTTTATGAGTCTTATCTTTAATTAAAGTACCTTTAGGTCGAGTTTATCATTTATGATGTTATTTCAGAAAACAGGTGAAGCGAAGTCCACGATATGGGCCTTAATCAGCTACATCCAATACTACAGATAGTAGTTAGCATAGCAGCTAACAGGTTAAACTGCTCTTTCTGTACTGTCCAGACTATCTTGTGGTTTTGGATGAATTATACTGTCACGGTAGCACATTCTGTTCTTGTTACTTTCGACTTTAAGGCGGTTTCGCCTCCGGCTTCTTTCAAACATGAGGAAATAGAGCGGAACTGTTTACCTGGCTGAGCTCCTCCACTCCACTAGGTGGCAGTACATATACGCATTTGTCTCTTCACAGGTTTAACATACAACGAAGAAGCAGTGCACATTTTGATGTACAGTTTTAAGAATATTTCACTGTAGTTTTACACCATTTCTTCAGTTGTTTACAGCCAGAAATGTCAGGAATACCACCAGATTCATGGCAGCCGGCAACGGTTTCACTAGAGACTACGTAAGTCCAAACGCGCTGTATTTCTGAGTGAATGAGAGTCAGCAGTGCAGTCTGGCTCCACTACAAGAGCCAGAAGTGACCGGCTGCTTTTCTGACTCGCTCACATTAAATGATTTCGTCGGACAAACGCTGTGTTCTGCCCTCCGTTAAAGGGGAATTCTACCGATTTCCCAAAATTTCTTTATGATCCCACTACTGAGGTGTAAACAGCCATTCAGAGTGGTTAGTTTGGTAAGTGGTTTATTGGAGAGAAACATGTAACTTAATACATTTCTAGGAGGAAGCTTATAGAGACATTTACTTTTCGGAGGCCTGGTTCCTATCAACAACGCTGTGAACATTTCTGACTTGGCAAGTTACTATAGAACTATTCACCACTCTGAATTATTTGGTTTACTTGGATCTTATCTTTTTAATTATGCAGGAATTTTGAGAAGCCAGTGGAATTCCCCTTTAAGTTAAATAAACTTGGCTCTAAGTCTAATATCAGCGTGAAGTGCATGGCCAATAAATTTAGCTGATTAAATGTAAACATCCCTTACTGTAAAGATGTACTACAAGACATTCCACGATTTCTGAATAATTCTTCTAAAATAATCTCTAATATTTTTGCCTACATATAATGTTCATGTACTACTGCGTAATAATCTATAATGCGTGTGTATTATACTGTAGTAAACTGTAAGTTTCTTACAGGACTACTAGATAGGCCTTAAGATTAAATAGGTCTGAAAAGTGGTTTCACAACATACCCCCTTACTTACTCTTCAGAATGGGAACCATTGTATTGGAACTGTACTGGAAACACGCACCTAAAACCTGCAAGAACTTTGCAGAACTAGGCAGAAGAGGATATTACAACAACACCAAGTTCCATCGCATCATTAAAGACTTCATGGTCCAGGGTGGTGACCCAACAGCAACAGGTAATCTTACTCAGTTTGTAATTGTTTATAGATTTTGTGTTATAGATTGGGGGAAAAAACAGAAAATCATGCTGATTGCTGGTTTTGCTGGGTGCTGGTTAAGCCTAGTCATGGCCTAAAGTCTCTAAAGCAGTACCTGCAAAACATACATAAAACATACATTTCCTGTTGCCATACAGGAAGACAGGTTTATTTTAGCTCTAATTCACTGTATCACATTTCCAGTGGGTCAAGGGTTTACATACACCAAGTTGTCTGTCTCTTCAAACAATCTGGAAGATTCTAGAAATTGATGTGTTGACCTTTAAGAAGTCTCTTAGAAGGAGGATTATCTAGAAATATGATGCAGCACCTCAAGACATTAGCAGGAATGTTACAACTTGGTCACTGCTGGATCTTCCAGCAGCCCAGATAATCCTAAGCATTCCTCCAAAGTTGTGACAAAATGGCTTAAAGACACCAAAATGAAAGTATTAGACTAGCCATCACAAAGCCCTGACCTAAATCCTATAGAAAAGTTGTGGACTGAACTGAAAAAGTGTGTCTGACCACTGAGGCCGAGTTCTGTCAGGAGAAATGGGCAAAGTATTGTGAGAAGCTTGTGGAAGGCTAGTCCAGGCGTTTGATTGAAAAGGCTATGTCGCCAAATGCTAACAAAGTATATGTGAACTTTTGACCCACTAAAAATCTGATATGGTAAATAAAACTTGAAAGAAATCTGTCTCTCAACTATTATTTGAAGTCACGTAGGTGCTTATCATCTAGGTGCATGTAAACTTTTAACCTCAACTGTACTTGTATGAATATGATCTTTCCATTTTTCTCTGTTGTTTTATATGTGTGCCTATTCAGTGGGCTTCTTAGACATTGGATTCTGGGTTCAGTCAGGACCACACATGCACATACTGTAAACAAACAACCAAAACAGTGTCTGCTCAGCATCACAACTCTGGCAAATTTGTTTACTTACATGCTGTAAATGTAAACTAAAATGAGGGATTGCTTTTCTGTGCAGTCAGAAATGTGTCCATAAAAGTTGCCATTTCAAGGTTGATGTGAGTGTTTTTAGACTGTATAGCATAAGACAGTTCAATGGAATTAAAAAAATATATATTTTATTTCTGCCCCCTTAGGCCGTGGTGGTGCATCTATATATGGGAAACAGTTTGAGGATGAACTTCACCCAGAGCTAAAATTTACAGGTGGGGAAATACATACCTTTATGATGTCTCACAGTAGATACATAAGTAGTACTACAGAATTTGTCATGCAGTATCACAGGATATGTATAACACTTTACTTAAAATTGGCTACATAACATTGAGATAACCATACAGGTCATGGCATTTGTCTTTTCACAGAAATTTATCATGCACTAACCCTCTCAAACAATCCTCAAAAGTACACAAAAATTCCAAAATAGAACAACAATACGTAACTACATAAACAACAAACAGACAACTCTTGACAACACCAAATCCATCCCTATTGCATTTATTAGGGCTGAACGATTTGGGGGAAAATATCTAATTAGCTTGAGGCTTGACCCCTGAACATGGTGTACCAAACCCAGTAAGTTGTGGTTGTGATGTCACAAAAGATGAAGGTTTGGTTGCCTCTGATTGGTCTAACTTATCTACAGGCATTTCACAAGCTCTTAGTTTCTTAAAACTCAAAACAATATTTTTACTAATGTACACTCTTACAAAAGATGGTTTTTCAAGGGTTCTTTAGTAAAGACAATTGTGTCACATAGACTATAAACACTATAACTATAAACAATAGCATAACCCTTTATGGTGCTATAAAGAACCATATACAACACATTCTTCATCAATCTGAAGAACTTTCACCATGCAAAGAACCATATAAGCATGCAAATGGGTTTTTTAGTGTTCATGGTTCTATATAGAATGATGGTTCTTTAGTAAAGACAAACTTTTTTTAAGAACCTTGAAGAACTATCTTTTTATCTAAGAGTGTAGGCTATATTTTAAAAAAAAATGCAGCTCTTGTGGTTTGAAAATTCTTAAATTTTGATTTAAGCCCTATCATTTATCACCCTACCAAAAGACACCAATTATACACATATCTCCACATCAGTGCCTTCCATTTCTTTCTTTCAATAATAATATTGAAAAAGAAATAAAAGAGATCTTATGCTTATTCCTTCTGCGACTTGGAACTCTAAAATGCTAAAGGGAGTCTAAGGGGTTGCACTAGAAATTTATCCCCCCTACAGTTTACTTTTTGCATGGGCATAGAGGTGATGTTTAAATGAAACACTGGACATAATATCATTGTACGATATTGGGCAAAAGTCTTAGACAGTCATGGAAATCGCTCAAATTATTTATGTCAGCAATGTGTTTTTGCTAGTTAAACACTGTATAACATTAGAATAAATACCAATAAACATAAATACAGTAAAATGTAACAAGTATTTTTTTTAAGTTATTGATATCTTGGTTAGAAGAACACAGGTTTAGTTATTGACTTTCGTGGCACTCCGTTCATTGCATGCCTGATTTAATTTAGAGAAGATTTGATTAACTGAAGCAGGTATTGGGTGGTAACTGTAAATACTGGACTTCCTTGAGGAAAGCTTTGGAAATTGTTAAGCTACACACTCACACCAAATCACAATGTTTTGTTTATTTATTTGTATTCTATTTATTCTATTTCTATTTTGTTTTATTTATTTTTATATATTGTGTTTTTTTCCAAACAAACAAATACCTACTGTCCAGAAAAATAGCTTTACATATTATTTTCTCAGTACTGTATCAGGCTATAATAAGGATGTGCACCAGTTCTGTCCTCTGCTGACTGTAAACTGGCCTACAACCATTTAAAATGACTGTTTTTTTTTTTTGGTTATATTATCATCTAGGTGCTGGAATCCTTGCGATGGCTAACGCAGGCCCAGACACTAACGGGAGTCAGTTCTTTCTGACCTTGGCACCCACACAGTGGCTGGATGGCAAACACAGTATATTTGGGCGGGTTTGCCAGGGCATCGGTGTTCTCAATCGGATTGGTATGGTGGAGACCAACAGTCAAGACCGCCCTGTCGATGACATAAAGATACTCAGAGTCACTCTGCCAAACTGAAACACCTGCCTGACTCAGTTCCTCAAGGTTTCTTATATTTTGTACCATTTTTTTCTAACAATAAACGCATGGTTTGTAATTTGTCATTGCATCAGCTATTTTTGTTTATTCATGTTCTGCTTACTGTTTATGATGGTCGAAAATTAGCTTAGAATAAAATGCAAAATAGCATATCAGATGTATGTGTTTTCATTTATGTGTTTGAAGAACGACTTACACAGTGCAGTGCAGACGATGGCCACAAGGTGGTGCCAAAAGACAGCCAGTTAAACACTTCACTAAAGGTATTTAGCAAAGTGAATTTTACCATCCACAACTGCGGAAATATTGGCCATTTGCGGTAATACTTTTTCAAGTACCCCTTTCAAAGTCTAACCTTTTAAGAGCTAGATAATGAATTATTTCATGCACAAAATAGAGGAAGATATGAAGGGCCTTTATTCGTATTAGGTCAGACACTTAACAGATTATGATATTAAAGCAATTAAGCCAGACACTTAACAAGCAATGATATGAAAGCAATAGTTTGGCAAAACATCTAATTCACACAATTTATTGCTTTAACAAAGCTTACACTACTTGTTAGCTACATGAGCCTTGTAGCTCCGGTGCAAATCTAAAGGAACAAACTTTGTTCACAAACATATCTTGACTGATTGACTAGATTTAGGGTAAGGGGTAAATTGTGTAAATTAGATTTTTCACTATTGCTTTAAGATGGAATTCTAACACTATCTGGAAGGTAGATGGTAGTATTACAGAGGGTCATGGGTTATGGAGAGAAGTGCATGGCATAATGTAGCCCTGATTGAGCTGGAATTTAAGGTCTGGTTTCCAGGACATGGACTAATCCTAATTGGACTAAAATGCAATGCTAAGGGCAAATCATCATTGCAAATGTTTCTTTGTCTAGGTTTAGTCTTAATCTGGGGTCTATAAAAGTTAGCTTGCTAAACCTTGAATCAAGTTTTAAAACACTAAGCACCTCAGGTTTCTCCCAGAGGTGAGCATAAAGGAGTCGACTGACTTTTCTCCTCTGACATTCTGTGTTGGCCTGGATAGATCACCACCTGCAGTGTTCACAGCTTCATAACAGTTCATGCTGTGTTTTTGTGCTGTTTGGCCACTACAGCCAGGTCAGATTACTCTCAGAACATGTGACTACATCCATCTCCATCTAAAAATTCTTGCAGGAATATTTCACTTACTCTTCACTGCTACATTGCTTTTTTTTCTTAAGAATATATATGTACAACCTCAATTCCAAAAAAGTTGGGATGTTGTGTAAAATGTAAATAAATATTAAAAAAAAAAAACAGAATGCAATGATTTGCAAATCTCATAGACCCATATTTTATTCACAGTAGAACATAAAACACAGATGTTGAAAGTGAGACATTTTCATGAAAAATATTAACTCAATTAGAACTTGATGGCATGGCACTGTGTTCTATTTTGAGTAAAATGTGAGTCTATGAGGTTTGCAATCACTTCTGTTTTTATTTACAATTTACACTTATTTGGAATACACATACACACACACACACACATATATATATATATATATATATATATATACATATATATATATATATATATATATATATATATATATACATACATACATACATACATACATCATCTAAACCGCTTATCCTTCTGGGTAAAAACTCACTTTAGAGACTACTGCTGCACTGTTGTATGATGTAGGTAAGCATGTTTACAGCAGATGTAGTGCTTAGATTTTTCATTTTTGCTAGAGTGTCCCTTAGTAGTATAGGATGCACCTTTTATGTTGCTGATGGCGTCTAGAAAGACATCTGTTTCTAGTTTTTATTGTAGGCACATGAACATGAAGTAAAACCGATAACGGAGTAGTTTTCCGAGCTGCCAAAAGGATTTTTTCCTTTCTTTTCTTTTTCAGTTTTAGTTCTATTTAAGCAGTTCTTGTTGTTAAGTAACTTGAAGAGCAGAAGTATGTAAGAGTCAAGGAGCACAGGTTTCATAACGTGTTACTAAGCTGGTGTATATAACTATTCACATCAAATCAAGTCATTCATTAATTCATTGAGCAAGTACTAGCCTGTTCTACATTAGGCGCACATAATGAGAAAAGCTGTAAATTAGATCTTTCCTAAACACTAAACTGAAGCTTAACATGTTACTTACGCTAAGAGTATTACTGTATGACACCAGGAAACACAATTATAGGCAGACGCTTGTGCAGCAGCTTAGATACTTTCAGGTACGCAAAGTGTGTCAGACTTTAATTACTTCACCAATTCAGTAGAAATAAGTCACTCTATTCTCCTGTTGTCACTTTAAGAATTTTATCCCATTGACTTTTATTTGCTATTTTAACCCTTTAAAAGGCCACCACAAAACTATGGCTATTTCTGCTTTTTAATCTGCTGTTTTTCATTAATCATGTGATTTCTCAATATATTTCTCAATATTTTCTTGAAATATGAATAATGTGATTTAACAAAACCAAAAATACAGAGTTTTTATACATTCATTCATTTTATTCATTCATTCATTTCATTTTTATTTTAAGAATAGAGGTCAAACATCAGCCAGGCTTTGTCATTACTCTGATTCACAGGCACTCAATCCTAGTTCCAAAGTACAAGGGTTACTCCAGGACCAGGGTTGGGAACCACTGCTCTGATTAAACCAGGGGTCACCAGTCTTATTGGCAGGGGGACAGTGTGGTTGCAGGTTTTCATTCCAACCAAGCGGGAGCTCACGTCACATAACTAACAAAGTGTTTGAAGACTGAATTTATTCCAACTGAATAAACAAGTGGAATCGAGTGAGCTCCTGCTTGGTTAGAATGAAAACCTGCAGCCGCACCAGCCTTTTGTAGGTAAGATAGTCGACCCCTGGATTAAACAGAACAATAATACGCACTTACTGATCCGAATTGTGTTCTGAATGGGGAAGTCAAAAGTTCTCCAAATTCAGATGCTCAGTTCAATAGGGTTAAAGAGAGGGTTTGACCAAAATCATTTTTTTAATAAACAGTTTTTATTGATAAAAATTATACCATACAGCATCATAAACAACACACACACTGTTTGAGATCATTTAATAAGTTGGCATGGTTTGAAGCAGTTGTTGAAGCAGCTACATTCGAAACAAACTTTAGACGTCAAACATTAACTTATCCTGGCTGCAGGACAACATTTGGGGAAAATTTTGTAAATTTGATTTTTGGCTGAACCATCACTTTTAAAAGCACACAGTTTGAAGATGACACTTCTCTTATTTACATACTGTAAGATACTTTAACAGGTAGAAATCTGATATCATATTATTAATAAATCATACCATCAGGTCATTGAAAGATCTTTAAACAGCACAGTCTTTGATTTTAGATCAACTAATCATGGCTCTAACACTTTATTTTGGATTATGTCTGTAAATTCAACTGATCCATGAACCAATAGTCAATTACATGGTAAGCATTAAAGATTTTATATACACTTCTATTAGTATATGAAGTGTTTAATTCCAAAGTGCTGCATATCCATTTGTTACAATTTTGGATTTAAATATAATATACTTTTATATAATACATGTTTTGAAAACAATAATAAGTGATGTATAATAAAAAATATATATATTTTGCTGCTGTCAGAACAAAAGCTCATCTCTGTTTTTTTTTGTTATTTTTCAGCTTTTGACATGATTTGAAAATGCCTATTGCCCTTTACATCGTTTGTAAATTTCATGATGAATGTACCAAAAGAAACAGCTCAAAATCACCTGGAAAAAAAACTTGTTCCGTTGACTTACGTTAAAAGTAAGAAAATAAAAGAAGTTTTTCCTTCTCCTGTAAAGTTACCATTTTAGAAATGCGAGGTTTTTTTCCGACAGCAGTGGTATATTTCTATAAAAGCTAGTAATTATCATGATACAGCATTGATATTGCATATATGTGTAGACCACACTCAACCACATATATCATGATAAAAAATCTAATCTATGGTCTATAATGCATTTTGAACAAAACCCTACTTATATTTCAAACAGCAAGAGATAGTAACATGATGATTTTAAGAAGGACGCTGGGCATAAGTTATACAAGTGTTGTATGAATGAAGCACTAATGTTCTCTCCTTCATGCATCACTTAATCTCTTACCAAAATGAGGTGTGTCCAAGTTTGCCTACATTTGCTACCTGCAAACATTACTCTCAGTGTAGTGTCTGACCCAGCGTCATTTGGTCACAGAAGGTTTTCAATGGAAACAAATACACTCAAATGTGTTTGTGTGATGCACTAATTTTAAAGAAATATTTTCAGTGCTACGTTGCTGAGTATATGAATAAGTCTACACACATTTTCATTGTAGTTTACACACTGCTAACATATGTTAATGAAATATTAAAAATCCTAAATTGATATGTATGTACAATCAATACAGCATTTGTCACACATTGTTACCTTATAGAATGAAAAGAATCAAATAGGTAATTTCATATTAAATCTTGTGACTGTGACAAGAAAACAGGACACTGAATTTGTGGTTCAGGATCTTCTGCCCACTGAAAATTGCTTGATATGTTTTAGAACCCCAAAGAAAATCTGTAGTATATTTGCTAAACCTTTTATAGCCTTAGCTAAATAATACAGGTATGACAACAAGAGCCTCTTTCTAGTGAATTACCACTGTCATAACAAAACCTTGTATCTCCAAAATAATAACTTTGCAGGACAAGGAAAGATGTTCTCAACTTTTAGTGTATATTAATGCAAAAACATTATATTCCATGTAAGTGTGGACCATTTTATTGATCCACTTGTCATGAAATGTTAAATAATGTTGAAGATAGCTGGTGTTCTCAAATGTTATAAAAATAAATTAAAAATTGGGTTATGAGGTTTTAATATGAGGGCAACAAAATGTTTCTGTGCCTTGTGGCAGATTTAAATGTCCCAGTTCTGTCTGATTTCTCAAATTTTACTGTTGCAAGTTCAATTTGTCATGAACGGCTGTGATTATTTTTGTGTTGTGGACACTATGCATGTATTATCAATGTATCACCACAAGCTAAATTTATGAGGTAATATGAACAAGAGAGGTTATATGGAGCATATTTATAATCAAACAGTTTGTCAGATTGTTGTAGTGATGACTTAACTAACTTGTTCCCATGCCTTAGTAAGTCATGGCTGTGCAATGGACCAATGCAATATACATAATTAGACATCAGTTCAATTACCTAGATTAACTATCACAATCTAAAGCTGCTACTTAAAACCATGGCACATACATAAATATCTACACTCACTGAGCACTTTATTAAGTACACCTTCCTGTATCTACACTCATTGTCCATTTCATCAGCTCCACTTACTATATAGGTGAACTTTTACTTTGTAGTTCTACAATTAAAGACTGTAGTCCATCTGTTTCTCTGCATACTTTGTTAACCCCCTTTTACCTTGTTTTTCAATGGTCATGACCACCACAGGACCACCACAGACTCGCTGATGGTATCTGGGTGGTGGATCATTCTCAGTGACACTGACACAATGGTGGCATGTTAGTGTGTGTTGCGCTGGTATGAGTGGATCAGACACAGCAGTGCTGCTGGAGTTTATCAAAACCTCAGTGTCACTGTTGGACTGAGAAAAGTCCACCAACCAAAAATATCCAGCCAACAGTATCCTGTGACCCATAATGAAGGGCTAGACGATGACCAACACAATCTGTGCAGGAACAGATGAGAAGGATGACCAAAATAAACTGTGCAAAAACAATGAGCTAATGTCTCTGACTTTACATCTACAAGGTGGCCCAACAAGGTAGGAGTGTCTAATAGAATGGACAGTGAGTGGACACAGTGTTTAAATACACCAGCAGCACTGCTGTATCTGATCCACTCTTACCAGCGCAACGCACACTACACACCACCACATCAGTGTTTCTGCAGTGCTGAGAATGATCCAGAATCCAAATAATACTTGCTCTGTGGTGGTCCTGTGGGGGTCCTGATCATTAAAGAATAAGACAAAGGGGGACTAATAAGCATGCACAGAAACAGATGGACTACAGTCTGTAATTGTAGTCTGTAACTACAAAGTGCTCCTATATGGTAAGTGGAGCTGATAAAATGGACACCGATTGTACATACAAGGACGGTGTACCTATTAAAGTGCTCAGTAAGTGTATGTACGGTACCAGCACCTACATACATTTTACATAAAAAGCTATGCAATACACATCTATATAGTATTTGTATAAATGTTTTGTATAAAAATGTATACTTTCAGCTCTGTATACAAATAAAATTCTTGGTGTTCTTCTTGTGTTCTTTTATTCTTATTTTGTAAGACATTATTGAGAGAACCTGTACGTATTTAAAAAACCATCCACACTTTTAAAATATCACTTTTGAAATTAACCTCAAACACTTGGGTGGAAATGTAAAGCTACGGCAAAGATGTACTGTATGATGATGGATGGAGGACTACAGGTTATTTGAACTCTTTTCTCCCTCTGTGAAGTTTGGTAGAGGGCAGTGTCCAGCTGGGTTTCTCTGTGACTGAGGCAGATCATCTGCTGGGTTACAGGCGACCTGGAGACGCTAGGATACACACATGACATTATTAACATGTGACCTCATATCTGTTTTTAAAAAGACAATTTAGACATCTTCTACTGAAATTAGATTGCGATCATTGGTAAAGATTTTTTTTGCTTACTTCCCGAATTGTCCCTTTGCCCTTGTAAAGCTTGTAGATCATGGTGATTGGAATAAGGGAGAGTGAGGATGAAGCCAGGAACCAGCCAAGGCCATATGCCCACCATGGATAAACATATATGTTGTTGAACCTCAGAGGACTATATCTAATCAGGAAGAAGATAAAAGTTCCCTGTAGGAAACAACATTATGACATAGGTTCAGTAACAGTACAAGCAGTGGACTCATGCACTTACGATTTTGCAGTAGCTACAGTAATTTACTTTAAACAGGAGCGAAATTCAAACCATTTGAATGATAGTGGACTGAGGACCTACTTACCAAACAGATGGAGGGAGTGACATAGAGCCAGCAATATTTTACCATAGGCCAAGGCCTATAGCCAATCATATCCTGAATATTCTCATAGAAGCGTTCAGCGCCTGGGCAAGAGACAGATCTGTTTTAAGCACTTGTATTGTCCACAGTATCCAGGCACTCCTTCTAATTAGTGCAAATTAAAAATAGAAGAGCCATATGTGTGATATATGTGATGTTTTTAAAATTGTATGTGCCAAATATAATTAAATGTGTCGCTCTTAACTTTTAATAAAAGTCAGTGCAAAGAGATTTTAATCCTGGTCATTCTATACTATTTTTGTTGATCTATTCATCCAGAAATTTTTCATACAACCTAAAAGACACCTTATGTTTTCAAATTATGTAAAAGAAATAAAAACCAACAAACAGTAATAATATGTTGATTTAGGCACTCTACAGGATGCTAATTGTTTACTGTTAAAGTTTTACAAGCCACTGTAAATTCTGAGATGTGGAATGGATCTGTGGTTGTGTGCTTACCATAAACCCATCCCATAGCCACAGACTGGCAAATTGCTAAGAACAGCAGAGTGGCACCGCTGCATACGTAATGATCAAACAGCTGGATGATATAAAGACCACCCTGCAGTGACAGATAGGCATCTATATATAATCATTTCATGGACATAAACAGCAGCTGCAGAGATTAAAACATCAGAACATAGCAAATAAAAACATAAAACATTAGAAATATCTGCAATACACTCACTTCTGAATATGGCCACTTTATTAGAAACAATTACCCATTCAGCCAACCATGTGGCAGCAGCATAATGCATAAAATCATGCAGAAATAGGTCAAGTGTCAGTTTATGTTCACATTAAACTTCAGAATGGGGAAGGGAGGGGAATGTGATCTAATGATGTTGACTGCAGCTTGTTTGTTGGTGACAGATGGGATGGTTTGAGTATTTCAGAAAGTGCTGATCTCCTGTGATTTTTATGCACAACAGAATTTACACAAAATGGTGTGAAAAAACATCCAGCAAGCAGCAGATCTGTGGGTAGTAAAACCTTGTTGATGATAGAGGTCATAGGAGAATGGCTAGACTTGTTTGATTTCCAAGAAAGGCTACAGCAACTCTTTCTAACAATAGTAATCAGAAAAGCATCTCTCAACATGTCGCACCTTGATGCGGATGGGGTACAACAGCAGACGACCACATCAGGTTGCTCCTGACAGTCAAGAACAGACTTTTCCTGGTCTATTCTAATGTGAATTTCTGCTGAGACATGCAGATAGTGTGGTCAGAATTTGGCGTAAAAATGCATGAATCTATGGACCCAACCTGCCTTGTGTCAACAGAACAACATGCTGCTGGTGGTGTAATGATGTGGGGAATATTTTCTCAGCCCACATTGAACATTCTAATACCAATCAAACATTAATTGAGTGCCACAGCCTTCCAGAGTATTGTTGCTGAATATGTGCATCCATTTATGAACATAATTTACCAACTTCTCAGTGCTACTTCTAGCATGATATTGCACCTTGTCACAAAGTAAAAGTTTGGTTCCATGACAATGAAAATGTACTTCAGTGGCCTCCCAAATTAACAAGATCTGCATGCAGTACAGCACCTTTAGGATGTGGAGGAACAGGAAATTCACAGCATGAATGTTTAGCTGACAAATCTGCAGCAATTTGTGATGTGATCTTGTCGACATGGACCAGAATCTCTAAGGAATGTTTCTAGAACCTTGTTGAATCCATGAAGGGGAGGCCCAAGCAGTATTAGAAAGGTGTGTTCCTAATAAAGTGGCTGCTGAATGTATATGGAATACAATAATGTACATCTGTCCTGACTTTAGAGAAACTGGTCTTGAACCACGTCATTTGAATTAATGTGGTTCATGTTCCAAATATAACATTTAAAACATTTGAACTGCTCTGGGCTGGGTTTCCCTAAAACATCTTAGCACAAAGATGGTTCTTAAATCATATTGAACACTCTCTCTAGCAGTTAAGGTGATCTATGCTAAAATGTGTTTGGGAAACTGGGCCCTGTACAAGACTCACTAGGATCAGTTAGAATTATTTCCTTATGCTGAATGTGAATTAAATGTAAACCGAACTAAACCTGAAAGATTCTGACCTCTGTGATCATAAACAGTCCCATGAGGTAGCAGAAGAGGCAGAGGGCTAACAGCAGCAGCTCTCTGCGGTAGCCACGTCTCAGCACGCTGGGAAACACATCCGTCACTGATGTCATGATGCTCTCCAGCCCCACGAACTAAAGGACACAAGAAAGAGGGCAGTCAACATGGAAACAGGGAAGGGTAAGAAAAACAGAACGGCGTTAGACTGTTCACTCTAACCTGGCTGTCCAAGCCGAGGAGGATGATCATAGTGAAGAAGCACACAGCCCAGAACTGAGACCACGGCAGAAGAGTAACCGCCTGTGGGTACACTATAAACACCAGCCCAGGACCTACAAATAGGCAATAGAGGAGGGACAATAACCAACAACACCCGTACCTGCTAGTCAATATGCTTCTACAGTGAGCTATGTACAGATCATCTGTTTAATTTGAACCTGACATAAAGCTACAGTCTGGGGATTACTTTCCTCACTCTTTCACTTAAAATAGATCCTTTAACAATTACATTTAGTTTTAAATATTTGAAATGATCAATTATTTTACTTATTTCCATAGGGTGAGATGGCTTATGAATTAAGGGGTCATGCTTATTTGCACAGCTGGTTTTAGTTTAGTTTATTCAATTTAGATTTAAAGGGACAATGGACATTAATAAACATTTCTATAAATGTGCCAGCTTAGCCAATTTGGCTCCTTTTCAACTGTAGTCCATGGAAATGGCAACTAGTTTGCCATTGGTTATGCTAGACTAAAGCCCTGTTTCTATATTATTTTTAACTGCCCTTGGCCACTTGGATTGCGTCACACCTATGTTGTCTTTCTTTTTGTTGTTGTTATTTGGCGTGTAGCTATGCTAACTCGATCCCTTGCCCCTCCGAGGGCTCATCTAATAAATTTCATGTATAAAGCCAATAAAATAATGGAACGGCCCTTAAGATGGCACTGGGGATTCCCCTGAGGAAAAAACTCCAGGCCAAGTGGATGAGGCCGTGGTTAAAACGGTATTGAAATGACTAATACATCTTTGGGAGGGAAATAAAAGGAGTGTTTTTATCTGAATGTGCCATAACATCCTGGCTTCTAGTGGAGGTTTTACTTGATGTTTGTGCATAAAATTGGTGGAAACAAAGATTGGGAAGTTGCAGTAATACATTAGAGCTGGAACAGTGGGGAGAGGGCTCCAAATTCATATCAAAATATGACTATAAATTGTCTATTAGGTGATGGCAGGCTTACCAGACTCTGCCACTAGAGAGATATCCACCCCCTGCTCCTTCGCCATGTGACCCAGCACAGAGAAGATGGCAAAACCAGACAAAAAACTGGTCCCACTGTTCAACAGGCACAAATAGAAGGAATCTCTGCAAGAATAATACACATGCTTATTTACAACACCTGCATTCGGTTTCTGAAACAACTACAAAAGAATGGCTTCAACAAGCTTTATAGCTTCTTTGAAATCTCAGGTAAAAGTGTAAGCTTTTGGCTCATATCATCATATCAGTACTTACAAACATACAGTATGTAATTGGGGAACTAAGTGCAATAACTATTTTGTCAAGGCAGCAAAGTAATGTGCATTTCACAAGGACCTTTATATTGTTTTCATTAATTCATTCATTATACAAAATGGTTACAAACATCTCTTCCTTTTAGTTAACATTTTTGCTGTTGCATATGTTTTTTTTATTTGCATTGCATATATTTTCCAACACTTACAACCTGCTGCTTGTGATATGCATTCTATTCAGGACTGCCTTACAATTTTGCTTAAGCTTACACTATTCAAATAATTCTGTCGAACAGTCTGGTAGTTATGTCTGTATGAGGCCTTTCTTCAACGCTATGTGCACTCACCTATAGCAGTTATTGTAATAATTGTTATAACTGCCAAGAGAGGAGAGATAGCCCAAACATATGGCATAAGAGTAGAAGATCTGAGTACCAGCATCCATCCAAACCTTCCAACAGGAGAGAAATAAACAGATTGTAGACATATATCATGTACAGAAATCCAGCATGATGGATGTATGTTCAACAGTGACATTTTGAGCTACTTTCATAACCAACCCCTCGTTCAAATTAACATTTTCTCTTTTAGACTCTGTGAGCATGATAATGTTACCTGCAACCATTTTCGCCTTCCAAATACACATTTTCATCTACTGTATAAATAGAAGGATAGCTGCTATTGTGCTGAATTCGTCTCTTGAGTTTTCAAATAAGTAAACCCAGTTTGTAAAGACACCCTGTGATCTTTACCTGTGGATCAGCTAGTCGTGAAACATTGGGGTACATATAGTAGTGAATGCCATCAGCTGCACCAGGTAGTGTCACTCCTCGCAGCAGCAGGACCAAAAGCGTCACGTATGGAAAAGTTGCTGTGAAGTAGGCAGCCTGCATTTACGATAACCACACAGATTATTGCTGGATGCCATTTTATGTTTGTCCCAGCATCTTAAAATAAGAAAAAATTTCTATTAGCTTGTTTGTCTTGGACCATTCTGAGAGCAGAAAACAGTGAAAACCTCCATATCATCGCAGTCCAATGAAAAACAAGTATTTCCAAAATAGTAACTTTACAGGAGAAGGCAAAAACTCTCTTACCTTTCAATGTAAGTTAATTTAAAAAGATTTTGCTCCAAGTGATTTTAGAGCATTTCTATTGGTCCATGCATCATGAAATTTTTGCACAACATAAAGGACAACTGGTATGTTGAAATGATGTAGAAAACAAAAAATAGACAAAAATGGAGATACATGAACAGCAATGATATGTATTTTTTTGTACCTTGCCAGTGGACTTCACTCCTTTCCAGATGCAGAAGTAGACAATAATCCAGACAAGTAGGAGAATCAGGGCCAAATCCCACCTTACCCCACCCAGGCTCTCCATCCCGGTGGAGAGGTGCAACACTCTGCGACTAGAGAGAGAGAGACAGAGACAGAGACAGAGAGAGAGAGAGACAGAGACCGAGAGAAAGAGAGAGAGAGAGAGAGAGAGAGAGAGAGAGAGAGAGAGAGAGAGAGAGATAGAGACAGAGAGTGGTAAAGACACTGAAGGAATGTATACATGTATGTCAAGAACAGTAAAAGCATAAAAAAGACCTCTAATGTCAGTTTTAGTTCAAATTCATTTGTATTTATGTATTTACATGTAAGCTTTTATGAATATCATTAGCTGCACTGCTAAATACATTTATTTTATTTATGAATGATTAATTTACTTATTTATTTATTTGTTCCATTTATACAGTGCATTTCTTATACCAAACATTGCTGTGGATTCTTTTTCTGGTTTTCAATGCTCATATTCTATGTCTCTCAGAAAGTTCAGCAGAAGTAAGTTAAGTTTCTGAGTTCACTGTACAGCTATACTGTCCCAGTCTGAGAATTTATGTTAGTTTTAGCTCACCGCCAGAACTCCATTACAGATGAGGAGGCATTGAGAGGAGATGTCCAGTTCAGACTAGAATTCTTCCCATCATAGACTGTGCAAGCATCTAAAGTACATAAGGAACATACACACATACAGTGAGAGAAAGAGAGAGAGAGAGAGAGAGAGAGAGAGAGAGAGAGAGAGAGAGAGAGAGAAAGAGAGAGAGAAAAGGTGTTAGAGGGGAATTTCACTGATATTTTACAGTCTCTGCATAATTAAAAGTAGTTTGATTCTAGAGAAATGTACAGAGTCAGAATTATTCACAGTGGAGCTTGGTGGGAACCAGACATCTCAAAAGCTTAACACCTCAACAATCTACTTCGCAGAATGTTATTACATTAACTGGTTACAAATATGCTGCCTGGTGCCTGAGAAATAGTTTTTCAAACAAGTCTGAAATAAAGTTTTGGCCTAAAACATTTTGGGTGAGCACTACAAGTAGAGCATTAGAAGGCAAAATAGTACCCAAAGACCAAAAAAAAAAAGCCATTTTTTTTTGCAGGTTTACATGTAGACTTTTTATAACCATTATCAACATTACATAAAAACTCAGATGACACTTGTAGGTTCACTGACTGCGCAGGAAATAAAATGGCTTTTTTTGCGACCCCCTTGTTCCTGTCAAACAACAGGTGGTTTTCTTGATGCCCTTTGGTCTAGTAAGAACAAAGATTTGCATAAAAGGTATTTATTCCCTTTTTTTGATTTGATAACATGTTTTGTCCACAGTGACCTCACCTGAGGACGCTAAAACAATTTTAGACACGTTCATGTTTAAGGGGCTCATGTTTAAAACTTGCATATTAGGGGTGCGGGAAAAATCGATTCTAAGATGCATAGCGATGCGGACGTGAACGATTCTGAATCGATTCACAAATGTCAAAAATAAATTTTCTAAATATTTAATTTACAACGTAATGTTGACGGAACACAAAAGGCGGAACTCGGAAGTGCGGAAGTGCAGAAGTGCAGCGCCCGGACAGTCTGTGGCGGCACATAACAAAAACACTACTGGATGAGTGAGAAATCCGACCGGCTCCCTCTGCTTTAAAGCCAGGTTAGATCAGGAGTCACAGCACAAATGATAAGAAGAGCCATTTTGTCCTTTCAACAAATTCAAACCACCTTGGGAGCCACAACATTTAATGTTCAGTATGTCTCAGTATGTGTTAATGTCCTAGTATAGGCTAAACAATATAAACGAAAACGCAGATTTACTTCGCTCTGCTTTAAGCTTTAGCTCAGCTATAGCCGCTTTCCTCCCATCTCCGCCAGAAAACTTTTCCTCAGAAGTAGATCAGTTAAATGTCTCTCATCGTTCGACTGTTTTACGAGGCTGAAGTCGCTTCTTATTCTCCAGCTTCTTGTTCGAATTTTCCCGTTCCACCTTAAATTCTGACGGAGGCGCCGAATGTAAATGCGGCACCATTTAAGGTGGAACGGGAGAATTCGAAAGAGAAGCGACTTCAGCTTCGCCCCTTTTTAGTGTTTGACAGTCTCTCGTTGCAGATTTAACGTACCAGGAAACCAACTGCGCTGCTTATAAATGCGAATAACGCATCGCTGCTTTGTGACCTGCAGTCTGTACGCCGGTTCTCAGTCGTTGTGAAACAGGGCTTTCGCGCTATGTTTCACACGTCCCGTCTCAAAGATACTTTACTGACACAGCGATCCCCTCCCTCTCTACAACGAGACCAAAACCGAAGTTATAAAATCACTAAATAAAACGGGTAGAATAGCTGTAACATGTGCTGCGTGGACATCCATCACCACTGGATCTTATTTCACCGTAACTGCGCGTTTTATCGCAGATGAGCAGCAGCAGCTTCTCGTGGTCCAAACAAGAGCAGTGAAGGAGAGCCTTCTAGTTCACTTGCCACATCACTTCCATTTGTTTTATTAATAAAAGATATTGGAAGTAAATTCATTATGGATCATTACAAATACTTTGCTTTAAAAGTACCAAGTCACTTTAAGTAACAGTAATACAGTCGCTTAGTCACTTTAAAATGTATATTGTCTCTATATTCTGTGTATATTTTGTGTATATTTAATGTATTTCAGTTGGTTTTCCTTGTATTTCTATTTTTACTTATTTATTTTCTGTAGAGTGATTACCTGAGCCTCACCACAAGCATTTCAATGCATAAATGTCCTGACATGTTGAGCAAATGACAAATAAACTTGAAACTTGAACTCGAAACTTGAGCTCACACAGTGAGAAAATATAAATGCTATATATAAAAAAAAAGATGCATTGAGATGCATCGATAATCGTTTTATAATCGCATCGCAGCCCTCTGAATCGTAATCGAATCGAATCGTGAGGTGCCTAGAGATTCCTACCCCTATTGCATATTCTTTAAAAGCGAGAACATCTTTTCTATTATGCATATGTATTAACAGATTCTGGTGATGCTCTGCCCATATAGCAACGATCTTTAATTCCACACTCATGTGTAAAGCCCTGGTCCATTCATTTCCATTTTAACTTTGTAAGGCTCTGGAAATTTACACAAACAAGAAAGAAATTACATAATACAAGTGCTTAACCAATACAGCAAAAGAAAAACAGCAAACAAATGTGTGTACTGTTTCTCCCAATATTAAATTGGTTTTATTTTCACCCATGTTCCATTTCAAGCAATATTGTTCTTCATCAAACTGACAGTTTTACTAAACATGGACACAATCTTCCTGTAGATTCCTAGTGTGAATAACAGTATGCTCCAATGTGTAATAAAAAAAGAATAATCTGAGACAAGTGCTTGAGTTATTGAAACATGCACCTTTAAAGGACCTATATCCTACATATTCCTTGTCTTCTATTCCTCCCACCCACCCCCCAAGGTACACTTATGATATTTCTGTGGATTTATGTACCAAAAACACTAATAATTCACTTTTATCCTACCATTTTCCAGCCTCTCTATTTCCAGTAGAATTAATTAAGCTGCTTTTGTTACTGTGCCTTTAAGACTGGCATATGTAAATGAGCTCTGTTTTGATTGGCTGCCATGCACTGTATTTTATTCAGAAAGCAATCTGGGCTAAAATGTCCCTTATAACTTCAGCGTGAATGGGTGGAGCTAAACAGTTGTAGGCTGGATAGGAAGATATATTTAAATGTGTTGGTTTTCATGATATCACAAAAACAGTGATTCAAGTTTCCATGTATGGGCTGTATGGACTGGAGAGCGAATGGTACAGTTTAAAACTTTAACAGTGCTTACATACTCTTATTTTAAAAAGTCAGGAAAATTTTCTGTGATATGGGCTCTTTAAGCTGATTTTATATGGTAAATGAATTTGCTGTACCTGTATTCCATGCATTTTTACAGCTGGCCCAGGGTAGCTCCAAACTGAAGGCTGACAGAAGGTAAAGAAAGGCCCACACTATGATCACAATGTAGGTGATGCTGCCGTACACAATGATCACCTGACTGGCGTATCCCAATCCTGTGAAAAACAAAACAGGCAATATTACAGTATCTGTGAGTTCATTAACCAAACAACTGGACATAGTGGTGTATACAATGCAAGTAATAGAACAAGGTTTTTTGTGTCTGTGTAGCAATGGGACACTGTAAACATGAAAAGCTGAAACTTAAGCGATATTTTAAAAGTGTTTTAAAAGTGATAATATCCCACTCTACATTAGTTTCCTTATTGCTCTTTGTTTATTTCGTTTTCATTAGATTATAATAGATTAGATTAGATTAGATAATCCTTTATTAATCCCACAACATGGAAATTTGTCGGTGTTACAGCAGCACAGAAGACAGAGCAGCAGGAAATATACAAACAATATATAAAATAGAATAAACAATAAAAGTATAAAGATATATATGTATATGTACAAAGATTACAAGAAAAATATACAAAGTATTAAATTTAAATTTAAAAATGTAGAAATGTATGTATTGTAGTGAGTATTGCACAGTGAATCACAAGTTTAATGTCCATGGTGTACAGACAGTGTGAAAAGTACTCAGGTTTAGAAAGTACTATAAAAGAAAGGAAAAATAAGAGAAAAAAAGCTCACGGTGAGCAAGAGCTGCTGTAACAGGCTTAGCCACCATGTTTAGGCATGCGGTCACATAGCAATTGAATAGATACTAGGAATGTAATAGCTCATTCTTGTGTGTTTTTTTGTGTCTGTGACACTGCTGTTCTGTCCACATAAAACAAGGTCTTTTAGTAATTCATTAGGTAAACGATTAGAGGACAACCTGTGCAGTTTTACTCACCTTCAAACAGAGGACAGATCTTTGTCCAGCAGGTGATTCCTCCCTGACTAGTGTACTGACCCAGAGATATCTCCAGTATAAAAAGAGGAATCCCACACGTCACCAGGTACAGCACGTATGGGATGAAAAACGCACCTGAAGATTACAATACAAAATTAATATTTTACAACCGATTTCCGTGACATTGATAAATAATATATGTATATATATATATATATATATATATATATATAAAATCACGTATATGCATGTGGTATTTTCATTACTTTCATGGTGGATCCAGAACATTTATAGTAAATGTAACAAAAATCATGCAGCAATAGATTTCAAAATAAAACAGAATATACAGAGATTACATGTATGTTTATTTTGGACAGATTTCCCCATTTTCTGCATTTTATAAAGAAGGTACACAGTACCGCACCGTAAAAAAATCATTGTTTTAACTTAAAAAAGTAAGTAATCTAGTTGCTTTAAAGTTTTGAGTTTACTGAACTTCAAATAAGTTATCAAAATGTAAAACACGGATTATTATTTTGTTAACTTACAATTAGAAGTTCAGTGAACCCAAAATTTTAAGGCAACCAAGTTACATAATTCTTTAGTTAAAATGCTGAATTCTAATTAGCAGTTTTCTCATAAAATGTCCAACCAAATGTGAAGTTGAAACAAACTGAGCAACTGGCGTCTCTCACCTCCTCCGTTTTTGTAGCAGAGATATGGAAACCTCCACACATTTCCTAGTCCTACAATAGCCCCTGCTACGGTCAGAATGAACTCCAGCTTGCTGGCCCATGCTCCTCGCTCCTGAGGGATCGGAGCGGTCCGCTGGATCCTCATTTGCCTGCTGGACGATCCTGTCATGCTCACAAAGCCTGAGTAAGTTCACACACTGGAGGACGGCTGAAGTGTGAAAGCATGATTGCCTGCAACAGCTTTTATCAGGGCAGGAGGGGTGCAGCCCAGCTGCCACGGTTTGAACTGAAGAAGGAAGCAGAGAAGCTGGAAATTAAACAGAATTTTGGAGCTTCTGGTCAGAGAAGATGTCTTACAACTTTAGAACAACAGGTCTGACACATGAGAGGGCAGTGCTGAGCCATGCTGTAGCGCCATGTCATGTGATCAGGAGCTCCTGTGCTTTTAGGAGTGTAGTTTGTTAGTCACCTCAAACCTATGTATAAAACCAGTTAAAACCCTTAAATTCCAGGCTTATTCCATACTAAGGCTTCTGATTTGGTACCTACAGGGACTTCCATGCAAAAATTTGAAGAGCCCTGGTGAAATTACCTTGTTGTTGATCTTCTATGTGCAAATAAGTTTACAAATAAACATGTTCAGTAAATAAATAACACATGAAAATAAGGGGATAAACTTAAACATGACATTTTTCTGGAAATTTTAATGCACAATTTGCTGGGCGTAATGTTTGGAACAGAACATAAATATAAAATTTCAAGTATGTTAAATTTAGCAAATGAACAGCCTGCATCAAAATGTGCAGTAGTGTGCTCTCTGTAGAGGACTGTTAACTTATTTTCGAATAGAAAATCAACAAACTGTGTCATTTGACCAGGGGTGCCCAAACTTTTGCGTACAACTGTAAGTATGAAAAATGTTATATGTAGTTGTTATTATAGTTATTGAAGTTATTATTATGTAGTTGTTATAATCAACTATTCATATTTAGTGTTCGTTGTTACATACCAATCTTTTTTCCTGAATAATTTCTACCTTTGCATGTCAACTTGTTACCCCAAAAGTCATTTTGGAGCATTACTATTGATCAATTCATCACAAAATGTTTACACAATGGAAACAGCAGCTGGTGCTTTGAAATAATGCAAAATAAAATAAGCACATTAAAATGGTTCTGATATGACAGTGAAGGTTTAGGACCAAGTCAATATCTGTCATGAGAATGACACTCAATACTACAGTATACAGGATAGCTGAGGAAGACTGAGACAGTACTGTTGAACGCAGCACAGGCTGCTTTGTGAGAGAGGAATGAGGGAGTTTTTCTAATCGTTCGTGTTAGTTTAGTCTACTGAGCTCTGTTTTTGCAGTGCTGAGAGCTGCTGCTCTGAGGGCACAGGGTACAGTAGAAGAAAAAATCTGACTGAAATAGAGTGATGTATTATCAGTGCCACTGATCTGAGTTTACTAGTGATGGCACATTGAAAAACATTGCACAACACTATTGCTATCCAGTTTAGATTCTTCCTATTATCTTTCTGCCTGATTTTTGTCCACTGTCTCATTGCAGTTTTTGAGATATCAACACTTTTCCAACTCTGGAATGTTCATTCTGAATGGAAACAGTGTGCTTGTATACAGCTTTTTAAACAGATGCACAGCTTTCATTTAATCATTGTTAATTTTTTCCCTATAGGATTGAATGGGGGGTAAAGGTTTGTGCACCCAGTTTAAATCACGATGCTACAAGTCTGTTAGAAACCATGTGAGATGTCATAGCAACCACCTTGCAACCACCTGGGATACCACAGCAACCATCTAGCAACACCCTAGGAACCAGCAGGAATACCATAGCAATGTCCTAGCAACCCCCAGGCAACCACCTGGCATATAGTTGCAACAACCCAGCAACATCCTAGCAACCACCTGGAATACCATAGCAACCACCTGAGGTACCAAAACAACCACCTAGCAACACCCTAGCAACCACTGGGGGAACCATACCAACAACCTAGCTACACTTAACCTGATACTTCAAACATTAGATTACATAGTGTACAGAGAACTTGACTGGATATGACTGCCATGAAAAAGAGAAGGAGTTTGGCTACTGTTGTAAAGAAAGGAAGTCTCTGCAGTTAAAGGGGGTAAATGTGGGCTTGCTTTCTCTGCACGCATTTAGATATTAAGATATTTTCTCTTTATTCATTCCTGGCAAATGGACAAAATGTAAGAAAGGTTAATATCATTAGAGGAAGAGAAGAAGTTGGACATATGAGTGTTGTGTTCAAATTTACTGTCAATAGTATTAAAGTGGAATTTTATCTCAAAATCTGAAGATAGTGTCTTGGCTTGTGCTACACATTCTGTTCTCCAAATGGTGAGGTTAAGCTACCCGGAAATTGCCTTTGACTTACAACCGTCTGTGATCTATAATCAAAAACAGAGATGTCCTGGGGCACTTGGAGTTATGGAGGGCTTGCCTATGTATTTTGGAAAAGTTTCAAAATCAGGCAAAGCAAGAAAAAAAAACTTATTGGAAAATATTGTATACAAACGCATACTTAAACAATTCATGCTGCTCTGATCTTGTCTCGATATAAGCGTTATTTTTATGGGACTAAATAAAATGTTTACAACTGGCATGTTGTAGCAAAAAATGCCATGAAGCAAAACAAGCAACAACAAGAGACAATCATCAAGTGTTCATGCAAAGGTTATAATAGATGAATAAAATGATATAACAAAAAACAAACAAATAAATAAATACTCTCCAGGCTATTCTCAGTCCGGCAGTGACACTGAGGTGTTAAAAAACCTCCAGCAGTAACAATTCCGACCACGCGTAACCACGCTGCTGCCTTTTAAAGGAGCATTTCCCCCAGCATACATAATTCCAGCAAAATTACTGCAAACCATTTTTCTGTTGCCCACTAAATCTAACACAGTACTGACAAGATTTTACGTTTCACTTTAGTACTTTTTGCTGTCTCATCCTTGTGTTGCAACTCAAGTAGTTGTTTTATGCTGAAGCTTTTCTACTTTGCTGTCTAAACTTTGCAGCAATTACATGTAAACTGTATATTTTGAACAGCCTACGCTTCTATTCTACAGCTACACTAATAGTGTCATCTTAGAGGTTTTGTAATCTAATTTATGTAACCATCAACTGGCTCATATTTGGCAGAGAAAACAGGCGGCCTTGGGGTCTTAAGTGTATGCTTAAGTCTATTAAAAGAGGAAACGGCCCTGTGCACAAACACTGCCAAGAGAAATATATGTGATATTTTCAGGATAAAGTGGGATCATTTCTACATTATCTACTGAGCAGTAAATAAACTGTCAAATAAATTCCCATGAGAGTTCTGTTTTATAACTTACAAAGTTCTCCTTACCAAACAATTTTCACACCTGATTAGATATCTGATAAGCCAACATGGTGACAGCATAATTACTCTCTCTATGTCAGTCCATCCTATTTTTCCTCTCTGAATGGCCTATGGCATCTACAAGCTTACATATACAGTGAACAGTAGAGATGTTTTGACAGTCCACCTACAATGACCAACAAAGTGAAAAAGCTCTCAGCATTAAACACCTCTTTCACAAATAACTCTGACACAGCAAAACACCTCTTTAGCAAATTCTAACTTACCTCAAGTCTTTTAGTTAAGACCATTCCTGGACTGAATTTCAACCCTCAGAAGTTCATAACAGTAGTAAACTTCTGAAATCAATGTCCTATAAACTGCTCCAATTCACTCTCTCTGTGCTGACTGATGCTTTTCTGAACTTTCCAGTAAGAATGAGGTGTTATCTCGTGCCATAATGATTCAAAATAAGAAATTTACATGCAAATAGAAATAGATACAAAGATAAGTAAAAAATAAATATAATTTTAAACACGTTACACAAATAAAAGACATCTGTGTATTGGTACTGGCTCAAAAAAACATGCTTTTCAGCAGCCGTTTTATGTTTTCAATCTAAGGCCCCCTTTGTGAATAGTAAGTGCCACTGTGGTACTCTCGCTCTCCACCACCAGTCTTTACTTTCACTTAACAAACGAGGACCATATCTTACCTGAACCCTGTCCATTTTGCTAGCTATTCCTGACCTGCACATACAGACATGGCCCTGTTCTATGACATGACAGAAAACCTGTTAAGTGAGTGCAGTATGGCAGCATTGGTTGTATTTCATTTTAATAGCATTCAATAACATGTATGTATTTCATCAAGTTCCATGTTTTTAAATGTGGCCAGATTTTGCAGATTTAATGAAATAACAAGATTACTAACAGCTAACAATTTACTAATTAGAGATACAAATTCCGCCTTAGCCCCCTTCTGTCATGCCTCTCCCATGGGGGTCCCGACCCTCAGTTTGAGAGCCCCTGCTTTACATTAAGTGGTCCAATGTATATTATAGAATATCACCATAAACTAGTTAAAGTGAAAGAGTGGTCACTGTTACGTGTCAGCACATATTTTGGTATTTTGTGTTTGTCTTTCTCCCTGGCTGCGTTCAGCCCTGACAAAACATAGAAAAACATTTATGTAAACGGAAATGGTGGTGCATTGAACACTCTGCTGTTTTCCAAAGGCAATTCATGGCATTCTTTCCAAAGCATTTTTAGACCCTCACTGTTAAGAATGAGAGGTCAGCTCAACTCAAAATGATATAGTAACTGATTACATGGCTTTTCTTGAGTTGACTCAACTTGAGGATACAAGAGTTCACACAACTCAAACGTCTTGGTTGAGTCAAAAGTTCTCTTAAATTTTTAGTTCTGTATCTCAGTTTGGCAAATAAAATAAGCTTTTTTATACTCGACATCCCCACTAGCCAGGACTCTCTCCATCACACAATCCTGCTAGACATTTTTCCTCTTGGGTACATACTTATGGATGGCATTGCTGGGGCTATGCCAACATCCTGTTGGAGTGATGGCTTAGTCCACTGCACCACTCATGAACAGATCAAGTAACTCAGATTTTGAGTGTACAGATGTTTAATACACTGGAGAAAATATGTGTTGTTTTAACTTTAATGACTGGCCATGTCATGTGGTGCAACTGTCTAATAATTCATCTCAACCTCAGGAGATGAATGAAAATGTGCCAGATGAGACGTGGTGAAAGGAGTGCCAACTAGTGGGGAGGTTG